AAAAACGATTCTGAACGGAGATGATTTGTCAGTCTAGGATATATTATATATTTAAATATTGTCATATTATATTCTATTTTAAAACAAATATTATATATAAAAATATAAAAATAACGATTTGGTCGAAAACTGGTTTTGCGTAAAAATTTCCGTTTTTATGTCACTTTTTTTTTGTTTTTCTCGATTTTTTTTGAAAACTGTTGGAAAATGACTACTTTCGACCTCTATAATACACCAAGGATATTCACTATTCCATCGGAAACCACCCCTTAAGTTTGAAATTGAAGCATTAGTTCGACTAGTTCTGCTGTACACAGACACAAAAAAAAACACACACACACATCATTGTAAAATCAATACATTCATCACTCCGTTCAGAATCTAAAATATATAATTTTCATTTATAAGGAGTAACAGTTAGGCATTTCATGTGGCATGAAAGTACAGATCACGACAATCAGGTGGTAGATAGAATTATAAATCTCAATGGCAGTGTGACGTGTTGTTCGTAATGGATTACTCTCAAATAGCCATTAAATAACCGGTTTGAATAAACTGCCGTAGTCATTACATGTCACAATTTACGAATTTAGATAGTAAATACCAACGATAATATTTAAATTTGAATGGTATTTAATTGTTATTAATGAATATTGATATTGATATCATATATCAGATTACCGGGCTACCGTAAAGACCCACATTCAGCGGCGGCAGCGGCGGTACAAATCAGTCCGACGCGATATTGTAATAATTAACCACGTAAATTGTCAGTCGACACTATGAATATTGGCAATAATTATATTAAAAATAACTATACTTCACGCCTGTTTTAATATACAGCCACTAATCGTTATAGTACATTTGTGAATGTAATACATTAGTCTAAGTCATAATTACTGTACCGGTATTATAATATTTATATCATAGTAATTATCATTAATATTACTTCTTATAATTTTATAATTTATCAARCTCAGCAGAAAATATTTGAAATAAAAGCTTTTAGTTTGAGTTTCATACTTWTTAATTAGAAATTATCATGACGTTGAATTTTTTCTCACATCAAACCTAAACAAAAATAAATTAAGTTTTATTTTAATTACCTTTTGGTGTCGACTCACAAATATTTCAAAATATTCATCGGCTTTTAATGTAATACATTTTAATAACACTGAACTTGATTATAATAATTATTGTTGCATTCTAGTTACAGCTCTCTAATCACATCCTTATATCTAGTAAACCAACAATCATATTTTGATTATTGTTTTTAAATGATATATTTTTTGGATAGTATCAATTTCCACTATAAGTATAGACCTATCAATATTCCATTATAACCCGTTTAATCATATTTTGATTACTGTTTTTAAATGATATATTTTTTGGATAGTATCAATTTCCACTATAAGTATAGACCTATCAATTTTCCATTATAACCCGTTTTCATCAAAGTTGGAACTTGTAAATTATCCTCTTTTCCCTTAGTGACATATTGAACACCTTTCCATTAAAATAATTTCTAAATTAAATACTGAAATTAATTAATTTAATGGTTCAAAAAATGCAAATTTCCAATAACTAAATAATTAAATCATGTTTAAGCGACCATTAGTTAACTATTGATTCAAAAAATGTTTAGTAATAAATGTTCGTGCAACCTGGTACAGT